TCACCTTCCATGGGCAGTCACCATGGCAACAAGCTCCATCCCCCCCCCCCCCGAAACATGACAACTATTGAGTCCAGGCTGAACAGAAGCAGAATATGATCAGCTGAACACAAGGGGAGAGAGATGTGCGCTGACTATGGGAGGAAGCAAAGAAAAAAGGAAAAAGACCCCAGAGATGTAACAAGATGAGGACCAAACTGACTCTGTAAAAGATGACCCCTGAGATGTAAGAGCGAACAGAAGGTCCCTGAGATGTAATGAGACGTCCAGCGGGACCGATCAGCTGGCTGACCCGCAAATGTTTTTTATTCCTCCATACTGATATTTGTTTTTGTTCCTCTCCTCTGTCGTCATCTGGCTTTCTTTCTTTATTCTTTCTTTCTCCTCCCTTTTTTAGATTCTTCTGTATAACGTATGTACACACATTGTGAAAGGTGCTATATAAAATAAACTGAACTGAAGACCAATCTGAATCAGTAGAATAGACCCCCGAGATGTAATGACAAGATGATCAGTTTCACTCTGCAGACAAAAGACCCCCAAGACATAATGAGAAAAAGACGAATCTGACACTATAGAAAGAAAAACACCCGAGATGTACGGGGAAGGAAATCTGACTGTAGAAAAGACCGCTGATATGTAACAAGACCACCAATCTGACTCTGTAGAACAGACCGCTGATATGTAACGAGACCTCCAATCTGACTCTGTAGAAAAGACCGCTGATATGTAACGAGACCACCAATATGACTCTGCAGAAAAGACCTCTGATATGTAACGAGACCTCCAATTTGACTCTGTAGAAAAGACAGCTGATATGTAACGAGACCTCCAATCTGACTCTGTAGAAAAGACCGCTGATACTGTATGTAACAAGACCACCAATCTGACTCTGTAGAAAAAAAACTCCCGAGATGCAACGAGAAAAGACCAAACTGACGGAGTGTAGAAAACAGCCTTTCCTGCTCTGGGGCTCCCAGCCTCACAGGGTGTCATGAAGCACCCCCCCGCCCACCCCCCGCCGGTTATGCAAGTTGCAGCCATTTCCACGGAGAGAGGAGGCGGCGTTGCCGGAGGACGCCGTCTGGCACGTGGGCTCTGTGCTCTCCCAGACAGCAGGGGGAGCTGGCTCGCTCCCAAGTCCCAGCTACACCGAGGAGGCACGCTGGCCCGTGGGCAGACATCCATTAAACCACCGCGGCTAAACGCGCTGTGAAAAACACCCAGTTAAATGGTCTTCCTGTTCTGCCACATCCTCGCATCCCTCCTGCAGGGGGCACTACAGGATGACGCCTGGCTCGAACCCGGGGACGGGCCATTGCCGCAGCCTCCCCAGCCCTTTCAGTATTTACCTGTATAAAAAATTTTAATTAAGGAGACAGCTGGACTCTTCTAGAAGCTTCCTTAGAAAAGCAGAATGCCGGAAGGTGTAGCACTGAAAGCACCGGCAGGCCAGACACCCGCCATGCCGCGACCTTGGGGAACGGCACTTAATGAATTGTGGCCTTGGCAGTGCTCTGCCGCTACGCTGCTGCGGCCTGCATCTCAATGAACCCCCCCCTGCGTCACAGCGCGTCTCAAGCCAGCTTACCATCGTAATTCTGAAGAACTTAGCTGTGAAAAACAAGTGGGGGTCCGATACAGCAACTGCCCAGAAGCGGCTGCCTGTCACTCTTGCCTGTAGCCCCCGGCAAGGGCCTGCAGCAGCCTAGCCATTAATCTGTTATTAATTATTAATATGTTTAATTACCTCCACGGGATGCCAGGGTCATAAACACACAGGACCTTTAATTATCAGTGTTAAATTCATTTAGCCTATAGGCAGCCTGAAAATCTGCATGTATAAGAGTTTATAAATGTACCAAGAGAAATATGTCACCTAAAAAGCTACATGATCTCTATCTTTAAAAACCCCACAGGAACAAAAGTAATATCTCCTTTTTGTTTTTGTCAGCACATAGCAAACCGACTTCACACGATAAAGAAAATGAAAGCATAAGAGGAACGGACGCATTATCAGATCGGGGCCAGAGACGTATTTCCAGGGGATTCTGCAAAGCGACTTCACACGGTACTGGGGCCACCCAATATAACACGAGTAGACGAGCAGCGATGGCGTCGGCCTGGAAACCGTAAGCAAACTGCTCATTGCAGCTCCTCTGACTCCTGTAGCCTGGAACATGGCGCATTATGCACTGGGAGTTAAAGTCTACATCAATGTCATCCATTAAATAACCTGGACAGACAAATATAATTTGCAGACATAATTACCTCACGGTGACTTTGCTCCGGCAGGGAAGTCTGGGCCAGCAGCAGTGAGTCACCACGCAGCTGCACTAACATTTGGATCTCCTCGCAGACCCCGCAGATCGTCACACGCTTTCACTTTTTGTTCCCGACTGCGGTGTTTCACTGGGTGACGCTCTGGCCGCTGCGTGACCCCGACCGTGAGGGCGAACGAGCTCAGCTTAAGGCTTAGTGAACGCAGAGCGATCAACACAAGCGCTGGTCACATAAAACTGCGTGCAGAGAACAGCCAGGAAGGAACGGCCTCCACATCTCAGCGAAAAACACGAGGGACCGAAGCCTAGGATTGTTCATAGCGAAGGCAGCTACAGGTGAAACCTCAAGTCAGGCACCTGAATACCCAGCGAACGAAGAGCCATTTCAGCCACAGACTTATATAACCACCGTTCCAGTTATCAGTCAGGAATGTCCTATCCCTCTGCTGATGGGACTGGGAACACGGGATGACTGAAGCTAATGGCACCAGAACATCCATATCAAAATAAAGACAACTCCGTCATTAGCTTCCAGTCAATAGCACAGCTCTTCAAAGGGCTATGATCAAAGTCACATTTAACCACTGACAGTAATGACAATGTGATCAGACCGGCTGTGTTTAGGAAGGCCAGCAAGGGGCGTGTAAGCAAAAGCATCACGAGACACGGTACAACACACACACACCGTCGACACAGCACAGCGACAGGGAGTCAAGGTCCGGCAACATAACAGCCTTTTTGCACTATATTCACCATAACCGTGTAGATTTACCTAGTTTTTCTTATTTAATCTTCATGACCTTTATATGTCTATCACTGAACTGCGTATTAGTTGTCTTTTACTTACATTATCTTCTGTTATATTTCTTGTGTGCTGCTGGATGGGGAAATCTCCCGGGATCAATGAAGTTCCATCGTATCTAATCTTGCTCCTTTCAGAGAAACCGAGTGGGATGGGTGGGGAGCAAAGGGCACCACAGAGAGCCGCACCCCCCGTGCTCAGGCGCAGGTGTCAGCAAAGGAGAGCAGTGAGGCCGTAAGTGGCGGAGGGTTCGAACATCCCGCCGAAAAGCAGAGCCAGGCACAGCCGCTCCGACAGCTAACGGGATTGGGCTTCCGGCAGAGTGCGGGTTTTATGGCTTCATTTCCAGGCCAGGAACTTCTAAAGAAACAAGTCGGATGGTGACGTCGGGAGCCGGAAAGGAAGCCACTCGCAGAGAGGACGGGCGGGCGGGCGGTGCTCAGTAAAGAGTTTTCCTCTAGAAACGGAGAATCGCGAAGGTAGAGAGGAAGAGAAGAAGAGGAGCGATCATGGTGTGCGTGCAGCGAGTGCGGCTGGACTGGCCGGATGCTGTGGGGGGCGCTGTGGAGGCCGGTGCCGGCCAGGGAGTGGAGCGTGGCAGATGGGAGGCTGGGAGAAGCTGGCGGAGCTGGCAGACGGAGGGCTGCAGACGACACGGGCTTAACGGGGAGACGGATCCCGCTCTATCGGCCCACTGAGGCGCTTCTGTTGGGCATCGGGGGACGCGGACGCGTCCAGGAAGGCAAAGCGTGGTGGACGGCCAGACGCCCCTGACCAACACGCCACGGCTGGCAGGCAACACGCTTTTTACTCACACGGGAAGCACACGCGGCAGAATGCTCGCCCCGCCACACAAACATGCCTGTATTTAAACGCTAACAAAAAACATTAATAATGACCTATTCACTGTTTGTTTTTAACTTTCTTTATTCCAGTCCGTTACACGGCCGCTGCCCTCCCCCTTATTTACATACACGCACTGCACTGTGTATATGAGGCCTTGTACATAAACCTTGTGTCCACCCCCCCGTTTCACACTGTCCTGTGTTTTGCTCTGTAATTCCTGTGAAAATCCCCCCCCTGTCCTGGGGGGCCTTATTTCATGCCATTTTATACGTGTGTATATGGATGGCAAGAGTAAGAAGCCCCCCACCCCACACAACCAAATGCTTGTAACACAGAGAAAACCCAGTAGGAATCTAAAAGATGTCACGGTGCAACGGTTTGGCGCGTTACAGACGGCGCCGTACATGCACCAGACCAGCCTGACACGTGTGTACCGTGCTCACGTGTAATGGCTACAGCCGAAGGGTCTTTATCTTCGGTAACAAATCAGAGCATCTTTCAGCTATGAGGGATTAAAACGGCGCTTTAGTTTAAACATGTAACTTAAAAGCGTGAACAGCTGACTTTCCAGGTAACAGGGCAGTTGCGGTGGGTGGAATTTTGGCCCACATCCCGCCTAGTGCCCCGTGATCCTTGGCGGTGACTGTCCACGACCCCCCCTGGTCTGGGATCGCCCACACCACTCCAGAGGAGCCCATTCATAAGGCCTAATTGAAAGTTAATTAATTGAACTGCAGCATGATCTATTTTGGGTATGAAACACAAATTAGATTTGATGTCCATTTAGCGTTCAAAAACTCAGTGGGGGGGGGGGGCATTAATGATGAGGAGAGGGGCTCTGGAGCCTGGGGAGCCCTTCCCCTGTTGATACAGACCTCCCATTAATTTCTGCTTCCCAGCAAGCAAAACCAGTGTTTCCATAGGCATAATGTCTGTGTTTGACTGGTGTGCCCCAGCCTTGTCCCCAATGCTGCCTGGGGTAAGATCCAGGACCCCCCCCCCCCCAAGCAGAAGAAGCAGTTTCAGGATGATGGATGGATGGATGGATGGATGGATGGATGTGCTCCTACCTTCAGGTGCAGCGGCGTCACAGATCCTGCTGGTCACCCTGCTGATGTTCCTCTCCAGGCCATCAACCGAGGGCATTTTCTCCTGACAAACAGAGAAATGGGCAGGACCCCTCGAATCGGCTCTAATCACACACCATTCAGCCCTCAAGTACAGGTAGGCGACCATTTTGCATGTCGGGTAACGCTGAGTTCATGTCGAAGGTTTATTCTGCTCCCAAGCAGACGGCTCAGCGACGCCGTTTGCGGGTATCGATCCCCATCAGGACCGGCCCCCAGTGACAAACCGTGCCAGCACCTGAGACACTCCCTCCACGCCGATGTGGCGAGTGTTGCCGTCTGGATTCCGAAACGGAGAAAAGGCACAGAATCTCTTCCTGGTAAATCAGCTGCTGCATTCATCTGCATGTTTTTTGGCTGCTAACTGGCCTCCGCTCTCTTTAAACTGCGCTATTTAGTCATTTGCCGCCCCATGCGGGCATGTGCGGTGCACGGAGCAGCCGATTGGTCAGAGCCATGTGCAAGGCTGGCACAAACCGCAACCAATCATAGCCACAGGGCCCTCAGGAATGACAGCACAAAGGTCTCTCGGCAGGGAGGGGGACGGGACGAGTGGGACGGGGACAAAACAGCGGTTTTACGAATGAATGACTGAGTAAATATTTCCACATGCTGTGAGCGGATTTATCAATAAGAGACTGGCCCCGAGCGGGGGTGCTTAAACAGGCACGGCAGTGGGCCGGCTAACGAGCTGGAGGTCAAAACCCGAGCATAAACCCGCGAGGAACTGGGGACACGGCTGACTGACGCCAGTGACCACGGGGACGGCTTTCAGCAGGGCAAAGGAGGAACCCCGAAAGGAAGCCAGCCAGAGTAATGGCTGACCTTACCCACACCCGCAGTGACGTGTGCAGCAGGGCGACGACACTGCGCTCAGGCGGGAGTCACGTTCCTACCTGGGCGAGGTACTTCTGGCTGCCGTACATGACGTACTGCGGGGCCAGGCTGTAGATCATGTAGCTGGTGTGGAGGACGATGAGTAGCAGGATCATGCAGAGGAAGAGCAGAGCCTGTGGACGAGTCCTCTTGGGCCGGATCTTATAAAGCTGCGAGGAAGAGGGTTAGGGTTAGGGTTAGGGTTAGGTGCACACAGTGAAAATGACGACGTCAGAGAACCCACCCGGATCCAGGCGAACCAGATGCCCATGTTGCGTATGCCGGCCATGGAGGTGAAGACGAAGTACATGGTGATGACCGTGATCAGGACGTAATCCAACGGGAACACCTGAAGGAGGCCACAGATGGGGGTTAGTGCGCCCCCTGCTGGAGAGAAGGGCCTAGCCTGCGTGCCACTAGCGCCAGCCTGCTCTAATGGAGGGGGGGAGGATTTCAGCCATGTTACACCAGACAGAAAATAGCAGAGACTGGTAACTAAAGCCACTGGTGCCTGTGGGGACCCCAGTATGATTTAAAAATGGATACTAACCACTGGGACACGAATACAGGTGTGAAAAAGAAGCAGCGAGACCAGGATCCTCTATAGAGGTTACGTGACCTCGAATGAGCAAGCGGACAGAGCACTAATTACCCACGCTGCCTAGAAGCTTCCACAAGCCTTTATGATACAACTTCATTCCCCTGAAAGGTGCGGTGTAGCCAGATCGATATGCCTGCTGAATAGTCAGCTGGCTGGCAGGACATGCTGCCTCTGAATATAATAATAATTGATACTATTATTGATCCCTGTGGGGAAATCGTCTTTTTTACGCCTCCCCCAACCTGCTCTTTGCAGAGTAAGCTGTCCATGAAGGGCGGCCACCTGTTGGGGCGCCCAGGGAGCTGGGGGTTAAGGGTCTTGCTCAAGGACCTGCAGATGAGCTGAGGCTGGGTGTGAACCGGCAACCTTCTGATTACAGGCACACAGGCTTAGCCCACTGAGCCACACACTGCTAAATAAAGAAAGCATTTATTTAATATTTGCGGTGAATATGTGAAATCGAGTATTTAGAATATCAGATGCGTCTCTGCCCAAAATCCCAGGGTCCGCGACTCATCCGTCTGCGGCGGGAGAGGAGGGCGGTCCCCGGGCCCCACTGACTTCTGGGAAATATTCATGAATCTGGCTGGTAGCTCTCGACTCGTAACTGTGCCATGTGTGGCGTGCATGTCTAGCATTAGCTAAGTACAAGGGGGCCTTTATGCTCGCTCACCCCAGAAAGACATTTTGATAATGCACATCACAGGCCATGTTACAATGTTCATTCTCATTTCAGGACTTTCCAGTTTCTCAATAATAACCACTTAAACTTAATGGTTGGAGCATCTCTGTTGCCCCCTCTCCCTTAGAATTGTAAACTATAAGGAATTACGTTTCGTTAAAACACTTCTGTGCGGTTAATTGTGCTGTGAGCAGAGTCTAAATGCACATTAAATCATCCAGTTTAGCACCATCTGCTGCTCCATAAAATCATCTTCATATCAAGCCTGAAGTGCAGACTGTTGTGAGGGCAGCACTGAGCTACGGACACACAGGCGAGACACCCGGCTGTGGCTCTGGGTTCGAGGCCCCATGTCCCTGACAAACACATAATCTTAGCAGCAGCCTAAGATTCATGGTTGTCAAACTTGAAAAAAAAATAAAACTTTAGCAGATTTAGCAGTTTTTCTGGCTAAACACAAAGGTAATGTTACTACAGAATTCTGTGCAATACTGTCCCCAACTTATCTTGCTCTGTTACTGTTTATTCTTTTGTCTGTGTCTGTCTGTGTCTGTCTGTGTCTGTCTGTGTCTGTCTGTCAATGGTTAGCTATGCAAATGTTTGCAAGATGGAGCTAATTGTGTACATATAAAATGGTGGCTTACAAACTTACAGGCTGAAGGACCAGCAGCAGTTCGTTGACTGGATTGGTCAGGTTCGTCCCGAAGATGATGAAGCCAGAGTTTATACCGGCGGAGTGAAGAGCTTTGTCGAGACTGCAAGTAGAAGAGCATCAGCACAGAGGCGTACCCCAGTACCCCCAACGTGGTGCCGTACCCCTGTACCCCCTGACGCGCAGCCGTACACCAGTATCCCGCAAAACGGAGCCGTACCCCTGTACCCCCCGACGCGGAGCCGTACCCCTGAATACCCCGANCGGAGCCGTACCCCTGTACCCCCCGACGCGGAGCCGTACCCCTGAATACCCCGACGCGGAGCCGTACCCCTGTATACCCCGACGCGGAGCCGTACCCCTGTATACCCCGACGCGGAGCCGTACCCCTGTATACCCCGACGCGGAGCCGTACCCCTGAATACCCCGACGCGGAGCCGTACCCCAGTACCCCCCGACGCGGAGCCGTACCCCTGTACACCCCGACGCGGAGCCGTTCCCCTGTATACCAGGACGTGGAGCCGTACCCCTGTTTACCCCGACGCGGAACCGTACCCCTGTATACCCCGACGCGGAGCCGTACCCCTGTATACCCCGATGCGGAGCCGTACCCCTGTACGGGAGAGATGGAGAGACGCACCGGCATGGAAAGCAGGGGAAGCTGCAACGGGACTCACTTGGAAATGAAGAGGGCCACGACCAGCAGGAGAGCCACCAGGATGAAGAAGATCCCCAACAAGATCTGGAATGGATGAGAAGGAGGAATGTGACATGGGGGTCACACTTCAATGTCACCCGAGTGCCTGGCTCCAGCCATCCATCGGCAGCTACGGCCTTTGGCCCCAAGTCACAGGGAAGACAGAGTGACCAAACCCGAGAGAGGGGCTGCTGCACGGGTACAATCTATCCATCTCTCGGAGAACATGGGAAGGTGCGCACTTTCACAGGCCATCCAGATGCAGACCTCCAGGATCTCCATCTCTCGGAGAACATGGGAAGGTGCGCACTTTCACAGGCCATCCAGATGCAGACCTCCAGGATCTCCATCTCTCGGAGAACATGAGAATGTGAAAGTGCGCACTTTCACAGACCATTAATCAGTCTACCAGTCACTAATTACTAGCAAATTACACACATGCTTCAGGCTGAACGCCAGCCCATCCATCTCCTATGTGCTTCACATCTGACTGGCTGCTGCTGACGTGTGCAGACGCGCCATGGAGATGCTCTGGGTTAGCCGTGGCCGTGGCCGTGGGAGGGTACGTGTGCTAGGCTCTGCCTCACTATCAAATGACAGATTCTTACCCTGCAGATGTTCCTCCTCCAAAACCTTGTGGTTCAGGGTTAACGGACATTCACTGCTGCCACCCGCACACATCGACTGCCTCGGGACAGAACGCAAGACGCTTTCCTCCATCATAATACATAAAAACAGTACCACCACCAGGCAGGCATCTGGGTTTGAGGTAGATTATGAGTGTGGGTATCTTGTGTAGAACTTATATCAACTTGCTTCACACAGCGTCATTCCTGGGGGGCGGGGGTCAGATCGGGCCTTGGAAATGACTGACGGATACATAACCAGCAGGGAAGAGAGGGGTCTGACCTTCAGGGGGCGCAGGGCACTGCCCACCCGCGTGCAGCAGTTCTTCTCTGCCATCTCCAGGTGGCGCTCTCTGCGCTGGAGCAGCTTCAACTTGGACTCCAGGTCCAGCAGTTTGCGTCTGTCCCTGGATGAGAGGGGTCGTCCGTCCTCACACTGGGGAAGGGGGGCAGAATGGTGGGTGAGGGGTGTGCAGACACACTGCAGATAATCGTGTGTGGGGAGCTGCAGTGCCGGCAGAGGAAGCGGGAGCACTGCCACAACAGCCACACTGGGGGCAGAGAGCCACCGACCAGAGAGCGCCCATGGGGGGGGGGGGGGGAGGGGGGGGGGGGGGGGGGGTGACTCTTTCCGTTCGGGAATCGGCATGGCACACATTTAGAGCCGGAGCGGAAGAGCCTCGTCGATCCAGGGACGAGGTGCAGGGAGAGCTCACAGCTCTGGGCCAATGCAATTATCCCCAGGGTCACGGGCCAAAACACAGTGGCGTTTTTCCCATCATTCTCTGCTGCATCAACCGCCACTACGCTCAGCGCTGTAACCAGTCGCACCAACCTTGGACTTTAGCTTCTCGATCTGCTGCTCGATGTCGTCGATGTCCTCCGTGGTCTCCAGGCGCTCGTAGGCGATGCTGCGCGTGCCTTTGATGAGGTTGAGCGGGAGCACGGACATGCCGTACGCCTGGGGGGGGGTAAGCGAGAGGGGCACGCCAGCGGAGGGACCGCCCACATGCCACATGCACATGACTATGGAAACTGCAAGATTAAATAAGAAAACATCATTACGCATGTGGGCTGCCTGCCTGCAGGGTAATTCCTCCTTTCGACTGGATTTAGCTGCGGTAATGAGCGATTTGTCGTGGATGTGTTTCTGCGCGTAGCCACACAACGACCATTTTGGATGTCGGCGACGCAGCGCTGGACTGTGGCGCCGGCAACCGAGAGCCATTCACAGCCTCACAGTGCCCCCTAGTGGTGGGAACTCAGCTCGAGCGCAGCGCTGCCAGAGCTTCCAGCAGCTTCCAAAGCAGCACTTCATGGAGGGGGGGGGGGGTGGAGTGTGAAGGCCAGCCTGACATCCCCCCTCATTAGACATGCCTGTACACATCGGAGCTCATTTCCATTAAGGCCATAAAAACCACCCCCCCCTGGTGGCCTGGCTCCCGGACACAAGACGTGCAAACTTTAATTAAAAACAGGAACCATCTCCGATACTCAGGTGAGACCGGATCAATGCGGGCCACCAGGAGAAGCCCGCAGGACACACGGGCACATGGGCACAGCACACTGCAGGAGGTTTCACGATCGATGACACCTCCCTGAAACAGGCTAACAGTAAGAGGCTGACTCTTAATTTACAGATAAGAGGTGCCATTTCAGGGCCCTTATTTTACCATTTATCCATTTGCAGCTTCATTCATTTATCCTAAAGACAATGGGGGGCCGTTATTACCAAAGTCAGGGGACACGTACACAGCACCCGCTACTAATAGTCTGGCCCGTGGACCTCCATGGTGCCCCCCCCCCCCCCCAATGAATCACGGGACACTTCAGGCCAGGGCTTGTCCCGAATACCAAGCAGGGCCATTAAAAGGGGGTCTGTCCCCCCTGACGCAAAGCCCCCCCACACCGTTCATCAAAAAACAAAAAGCGAGTTTTTGCTGCAATTGAGAAAATGAGATGACAGAGGTGGCTCGAGGCTGAACAGACAGGCATTCATGGCGCAGAGGTCAGATAAATATGCGGGGAAGGGACGCGGGCAGCCGTCGAAAGAAAGGGGCTCACACCCAGGGGGAGGGGGTCTCCTGAAGCAGCACGAGAGCTGAGGGTGGGGAGGCTGGGGGGCCAACACCGGCGGGGGAAGGGGTTTCGAACCCGGGGCCACAGCAGCTGGTCCGTCATTCCTCATAATAAGAAAATAACAGGTCTGTGAACAGCAAAATGAAGCTAATTTAATTTCTTCAGCTTCAAAATGACAGCGCACACCTGATGTCCCTGTTCCGGAAACCTTCACCCTAGGGGAGACAACCACTGCGGAAAAACCGCCAGCGAGCTGAAAGAGGATCACTCCGCACACAATACCTGGCATGGGAATCACCGCCTCTCCTGCGGGCTTCCAAGTTCCGGAATTTTCCCCACAAATAATTTCATAGCTTGCGAACGGTCACCAAAATAGAAATAAAGCATTAAGCCGACAGTTTTTTTTTACATCATTGCAGGGAATATGGAGACGTCACAAACAAAAAGCAGAAAGAAGGTGGGAATGAGAGGGATGCCTGATCCTTAGCAGGACCCCACCTGCCCGCGCAGCCGCCAGCGCCCAGCCAGACTCAGAGGGCTGGTACGCTGTGCCCATAACCAGAGGGCCACAGGTTCAAATCCCAGGGTCCGCTGAGTGATTTCACGGCCCTTAACCCTGCTTCTCTGAATGACATGGTGTGGGGGGGGGGGCGGGCAGCCAAACCCAGGGCTATTCTACAGCCAGGTAGTTACACCCCCATTAAGGCAAAACACACCCCAAAACAACAATAAACAGGCAGGACATAAAATTCCCCAGAAGAGGCGACAGCTGCATCTCTCCTCTGCGGGGGACGGACATTAATCTGGCTGCATCTCCAGCCAGATAAACGCTGGCCGTGCGTCTATTGAGAGAGCAGCTGGGGCACACCGTCCGCCGCCGCTGAATGAAGACTGACTGCTCACCTAAGACACGGCCCCGCCATAATTTAAGCCGCAGTTAGGGGGCGACAGCGCCGCATACGGAGCCTGCCACTTAGCTTCCATTAGCTTAATGGTGTGCAGTAACAGCGGAGAGTGACGACCAACCCCCACGTCTGTAAATACAGCGAAGAGGAGCGAAACCCGTCCAACAGCATGCCTTTCTCTCATGGAAGGTGTCAGAGGGACGGAGATCCCAGCTTTTTGCTGACTGACCACAGATTGGTCGAGTGCCATCGCCACAGTGGTTCATTAGGAGGACGGCGTTAACGAAGCCTGCAGGCGACTGCCGTACACGGTGGCACTGGACTATGTGGTAATTAAAAGCACTGTGTAGAGAATGGGGGGGGGGGGCAGCGTGTCGCACAATGGCCCCACAGCGCCCCCTGCTGATCAGCCCTACCCTCCTCCAGCAGCTCTGATAGACAGCTGACATAAATAAGTGTTACTGTGCCGTCAGCTCATATCGGGAAGACAGAGGCACTATGCAGTCCCGAGGCAGATATGAGGGGCCTCGCAGTTAAGAAAGGCATATAAGGGGAGCAGGATGTGCAGATTGGACATGGCGGGTGGGAGGGGCAGGCTCACAGTGCCCCCCGCAGGCCGCTCTGCTGTGTACTTACCGTGTAGGTGACAACAGCCAGCATTCCGATGAGGGTCAGGGTGCTGATGGAGAACGAGATGGCGGCCAGGCCATCTGCGAGACAAACACAGAACAGACGCTCACCAGGGGCACCATCTCCGGATCCCCACCCCCCCAGGTCCCCCTGGGCCCTGCACCGACATAAACAGACCCCCCCCCCCCCCAGGTGTGGCGCCGCTTCACCATAATTGAGGAAGACTCCCGGCTGGCCGGAGAAAGAGGGGGAGGCGGACAGATTCATGTCATCTGTCAGCAGAAGAGAGGGATGAGGGTGATTCACAGAGACGCGCTGCCCGCCCCCCCTGCTGGCGAACCAGAGGAAGCCTTCTGCACCCCCACACTCTCAGCCCCCACCATCCAACACCCTCAGCCCCCAATCCTGCTGCTCAGGGGTAAGAGAGACCAGCAGCTGGTCCGTCTCTGGGGCCTTGATCCAATGACCTGCACCTTCAGCCCAGCAGTGAGAGAGCAACGTACGGATTCATGGTTTCCGGGGCCTTGATTCCACAACCTACAGGAATGAGTGAGCCGAGTTCCCAGCTTCATGGGAAGAAATTAAATCCCCCTTGCCCACGCCGGGACACCAGCACCCAAAGCTTCTTCAGAATTGTCCCCCACTGCCGGGGGTTTTCAGCATCCCTGCGATCGTCCTCTTAGCTCAGAAGGCGACAGCTCCTTGTCCTGTGAGGAAGGCGCATCAAAAAGAGACCTGGCTGTTTGTGGCCCCTCAGTCAACTTCCAGAAACATCCGGGGGATTCGACACAGGGGGTTTAGTCCAAGTGACAGTGTGATGAAAGGGCTCTTATCTAGCGGCGTCGGCTCTAGAGGAGACGCAGGGCGGATCGCAGAGGCAGAGCAGGGTCAGCCGGGCTGATTGATCCCACGCCGGGGCCAGGGGCCGCTCCGCACCATAACCCATGTAAACACGCCATTCTAAAAAATGCATTATTCAGGCTGTGAGTATGGGCCCCCATAACCGCGAGGAGACACCGCTCAGTATATCAGCGGGACTCAAAGCCGACACGAAGTCGCATGCCCTGATGCATTTCCTGCGGTGCTTACATCCCTTTCAGCATGATGGACGTCTGCAGGCTGGCAGGAACAAGAAAAATCATGCCTCTGATTTGATTTTAGTTAGCGGCTGGATTTAAGAGAGCACAAGGCTGACGGCAAGGGCTGTAAATATCAGAGCGGGATCGTTGCCCCCCCATCGACATATGAGCTCTGGGTTACAGGAACACCTGAAGGGGCACAGGGAGGTAAGACGGGGCCAAACAGGAGCCGTGACACATGGGAGGACTGACCGGCACGCGCAGTCCCCCTGAAGCAGGAACTGGTGACTGACAGCCTGGCGTTCGGACTCAATTAACCCCCCAGGATCAGCAGGAGTAAGGCTCCTCCTGTCCTGCTGCTCTTCCCCGCACCCACCCGCTCCTCCCTGCACCCACCCGCTCCTCTACCCACTTTCCTGCTGAGGATTATGGGAGCTTAACGGACGATCAGACTCACGGCTGCTTCCCAGCTCCTGGAACAGGAACTGCACCTTCTCCCACTGGGTGGCATTCTGACTGGGGGGGTCCAGAGGAACAAACGCCCTGCAAAGGGAAGGCAGCAGTTACCGGTACCATAAGGATGCTGGAATCGGGTCAGCACCGCTAGGTGAGCCATGCAGAACCCCATACTTCTGACTTGCAGATGCACGCCTTACACGATGCCAAATAAATATGGCAACTGTCAATTTCTACAAACTGTACACTTATGATTTACCAGGCCTGGAAAAAGCACTCAGGGCAAGAGGTCCTTGTGGAGGTTAAGAGGTGCTGCTTACATACTGTGACACCGGGGTGGGGGTGTGGCTTACATACTGTGACACCGGGGTGGGGGCGTGGCTTACATACTGTGACACCAGGGTGGGGGTGTGGCTTACATACTGTGACACCGTAGTAGGGGTGTGGCTCACTAATTATGACACTGGGGGGTGTGGCTCACTAATTATGACACTGGGGGGTGGGGCTCACTAATTATGACACTGAGGGGTGTGGCTCTAACTATGACACTGGGGGATGTGGCTTATATACTGTGACACTGTGGTGGGGATGTGGCTCACTAACTATGACACTGGGGGATGTAGCTTATATACTGTGACACCGTGGTGGGGATGTGGCTTACTAACTGTGACACAGGGGGGTGTGGCTTACTATCTGTGACACAGGGG